AACTCCTGGGCTCAAGGGATCCTCTCACCTCAGCTTCCGAGTAGCTGGGACTGCAGGTGTGTGCCACCATGCCTCTCTTAGATCAGATTATTTTCAAAAGAAAATATTAAAGTGACAAATCGTAACGGTATATATGTGATATTTGCTCTTGAACTAGCCTGAAAGCTAAATTAGTTTTGAGTGTAAGTCAGGAAACAGTGCTGAGTACAATTGGCATTTCAGCATGTTTCAGCATGGCTAATGGAACTGTCTAATTTATGGGAGATAATAAAACGTGACCTTTGGAAAATACAATGTAGGTATGCTGGAATAATATTCAAATAAATGTTCAGAATTTACACAATGAAAAGGAAAAGAATTCTATAACTTAAGTCTTCAAAGAATGTAATATATCCCAAAGGGAGAACTTACTGCTTCAGTGTAAGCTTCACTGTTCTGTTCTTCATGGGCCTCTAGAAGTTTCTGGTAGCATAAAGATACGAAAATATTAGTTTTGTAAGATGAAAAAGTCCTATTTCTGAATGGATACTTTAAACACAGAAACAGCCTTAGTATGACATTAACTGATATTGCCAAGTATCTCACACAACTAGGGAAACATTCAAATACAAGTCAAGATCCAAGTCAGGAATCTAGCTTTTTTTACTAATATTTCTGAACTGCCTGTTTCAGAACGCAATCCTCTGTTCCTGACTGTAATGACATTTGAACTCATATACCGCAAAGGCAGGGAAGTACCAGGTCTCCTCAGCAGACTTTATGGATGAAAATTCCACTATAAACCCAATTCCACTTAGGTATTGTTACCTGATAGAGAAAAGGCTCTTTAAAGTTCTAATATTACTTACTTTCAATAATTTACATTCTCTTGAATCAGTAAATGCTGGAAACATTTCTTCATACTTCTCAAGAGCAAGCTGAGAAAGAAAAATCACTCATCAATGTCAGACTTTCTGAACTAGGAAACAAAGCTTTTAACATCGTATTAACTTCAAGAAGAACTATCTACATCCTATGTAAGTGTTTAAGAAGTAGGCTATTAAATCCAACAACAGAATCAATACAGGAAACCCATTTATTCTGAATTTTCAATGTCAATTAAGAGTGATTTCTAAACCCATTTTTCTAAGTTAGGCCACTTAGAGAAGGCAATGTGAAAGAAAATTAATTCTAAAAATTCACAGACCAGGTGTCTGTGTTCATCATTAAATGGAGAAGCTCTTCCTTAATATTATCCAGATTACAAATAAATCACATTTAGATTCCTGCTCAAAGTTGGAGGAAAGAACACTTTTTGTCTTGGGGGTTTAACCCTGCTCTTCTGACTCCTGACACTGCCCACTGCCCACTGCGCCTGCCCCACCTCTGCCTCTCATCTCCCAGCTTCCGCTTCTTCCCAGTCCCCATTCCAACTCCATTTCTGAGTAGTTTTTTTTTTTTCTTTCTAAGGATATTAATCTACCTTTATAGTCTCCCCCTTAGTTCCCTAATTTCTTTCTCTCTTTTTTTTGCCACCCAGGCTGGAGTGCAGTGACACCATCACAGCTCACTGCAGCCTCGAACTCCTGGGCTCAAGCAATCCTCCCACCTGGCCTCCCAAAGCGCTGCGATTATAGGCATGAACCACCGCGCCTAGCCCCCTAATTTCTTTAAAGCAAAACTACGAAGGGAAATGTGGCTATCCAAAAACTTTAAGAGAATAGCTTTAGCAGCTGTTAAAAGACTACAGCTTGGACATATATCGCAGAATTATTATTACTTTGAATGAACCCAATTTAGTCTCACTACTAACACCCAAACGAAATGTCATCAAGAACAGCAGAGTATGTGTACGTGAGGGCTGTTCGCAGGGGACTCCTTACCTTGGCATTCAACTCGTCCACTATGAAGTGACAGAGGGCTGCTTTGAAGAAGTAATCCTTTGCACTGTACTTCAACAAAGGATTATCCATTGTGTTTGCCCCAACCTAGGCACAGAAAACAGTTAAATTTAAAAGGTTTACCTTCTTATATTAGGTAAAATAATTCTCATCTGTTGCCCTTTAGAAAATACTTATGTATCTTATGTTAGTTTAGCTGTGAAATACATTCTTTTAATCCAACACCATACAGTAGAAAATCTTACTAGACAAGAATATTAAATACACAAAGTGCTAACCTGTTGAAAACAACTTGGAAGACTTCTGCCTCCAGAAAGATGGAAGAGACATCCTTTCCCCCATTCCTCCCACTAAGCACAACTAAGAGCACAGGTCATTTTATATAAAACAAATGTCTATGAGTGGTGGACAAAAGAGGGCAGACCTGCTAGGGACTTTAAGGCCCAAGGCAAAACATGATGGTAGGCTCCCTGGTTTTCTTTTTTCTTCCTATATCTATAGCATGGAAGTAAAGAACCAGCAACCCAGAAATGCCAGTAGGTGGAGACCAAAAAAGAGAACAGACAGAAGCCTGCTCTCTCTAGCCAGAGGACTAGGAAAGGGGCAGCCTAGCAAGAGAGAAAACATTTAAACAGTACCTCTCTACTGCAGTCAAATACAACAGAAAAATGACCCGCCTCCATATTGTCAAGGCTGAGAAGGGAGCCATGGTGCCCATTCTTGCAGGACTTTAAGGAGGAGTCCAGCACTCCGGCCAAGGTGGCCTCAGGGAGGGCCAAACAGGGAGCTGAGGCTTTATTCTGCCCTCCACCCTGCCACTGAGGCAGTACAGACCACACTGGGAGTCTGGATTCTACCTGCACCCAGCAGGAACAAGGTGCCCCTCCATCTCCCAGCTGGGAGGTGTCAGAAGTGGTCTAGCGGAGGGTGAAGACTTTCACCATCACCAAACGAAAACAAGAACAACCCCTGTATGGTGCTGGTGGACACGAGGTAGGGAGCGGGGATGCCTGCCTCTGCCCAGGGGTAAAACCAGGCCCCTCAGATGTCAGTGGAGGCCTAATGGGGAGTTTGAACTTCCACCTCTATCTGGCAGTAATGGAGCAACACCTCAGCTTTCCTCAGGCAGATGAGTGTCAAAGAAGGCCAGCAAGAAGAAAAGGTTTAAATGAGATCCAGGGTCTCATAACCTAATGTGAAAATGCCTTGTTTTCAATCAAAAAGCATGTGTAATAGCAAAAACACAGGAAGATCTCAAGTTGAATAAAAAAGACAATAGGTGACAATTCCCAGATGACAGAAATGTTAGAATTATCTAACAAAGATTTTAAAGGAGCCCTGGTAAAAATGCTTCAACAAGCAATTAGGAAAACACTTGAAACTAATGAGAAAACAGAAAGCATTAACAAAGAAAAAGTCACTGTGAAAAAAATCAAAAGATATAAAGAAAAATGAAATGAAAAATTTAGAGTCGAGAAACATGACAACATGCATCAAAAGTAGGTGGGTCCACAGCAGAAAGATGGGGCAGAAGAAAGAATCAGTGAACTGGATGACAGAACAATGGAAATTACTCAGTCTGAACAACAGAAAGAAGACTAACTTAAAAATAAACACAGCATTATGGACTTATGGGACTACAAAACAAGGTCTAACTTTTGTGTCATCTGAGTTCTAGAAGGGGAGGAGAAAGAGAAAGGGGAGAAAGGGGCTAAAAAAGCACCTGAAGAACTAATTGCTAAAGAATTCTCAAATTTGGCAAGAAACATAAATCTACGGATTCTAAAGTTTAGTGAAACCCAAACAGAATAAAATCAAATATATTCATATAAGATACGTTATAATTAAACTTCTAAAAACTGAAGACAAAGAAAAAAATTATGAAAGTGGACAGAGAACAATACCTTACCTACAGGGGAAAAACAATTTGAATGACAACAAACTTCTCATCAAAATTTATGGAGGCCATAAGTTGCACTTTTTTTTTTAAATTAAAGGAAAATAACTATCAACTTAGAATTGTACACCCAGGGAAGATACGCTTTAGGAATGAAGGGGATATCAAGACATTTCCAGATGAAAGAAAATTAACAGAATGTGCTGCCAGCAGACCTACCTTAAAAAAATGGCACAATGATGTTCTCTGAGTAGAAAGGAAATAATAAAAGAATGAATCTTGGAAGATCAGGAAGAAAGAAAGAACAGGGTAAGCAAAAATATGGGTAAATGCAATGGACTTTCCTTCTCTTCTTAAGTTTTTAAAATTATGTTTGATGGTTGAAGCAAAACTTCTGATAATGTAGTTCTAAATGTATGTAGAGGAAATATTTAAGACAATTATATATTGAATGGGGAAAGTAAAGTGAGGTAGGATTTCTGCATTTCACCAGAACTGATAAAATGATGATACCATTAGTTTGTGACAACTTATGTAAATGTCAAGTAATACCTAGAGCAAGCACTAAAAAATCCATTCAAAGAGCTATACAGCTGACCATCAAACACCACGGGTTTGAACTGTGCAGGCCCACTTATACGTGGATTTTTTTTCAACTAAATGAAGATTAAAAATAATGTATTTGAAGGAATGAGAAATCCAAGTAAACAGAGGGCAAATATACAATTTTTCATGTATACAGGTTCCACAGGGCTGATCATGGGACTTCAGTATGTTTGGATTTTGGTATATGAAGGAGGTCCTGGAACTAGTCCTCCACAGATACTGAGAAACAACTGTAGTCAAAAAACAGTACAAAAAACCAAGTAACCCCAAAAAATTCTGGAAAAAGAAAACAGAAATAAAAAGCAAAGCAAAAATAGAAAAAAATAAAATGGTAGAATTAAGCCCTAATATATCAATAATTACATTAAATGGTAATGACCTAAATATACCAATTTGAAAGGATTGGCAAAGAGGATTAAAAAACAGGACCCAACTATAAGAAACTCAAGAAAATCATTCCAGTTACAATGATACAGACAGATTGAAAGAAAAATAATAGAAAAACATATATAAACATTAATAAAAGAAAGCAGGAGAAGGTATAAAGCAAGTAAAGAAGACCTCAGCAAAGAAAATTACTAGAAACAGAGGACATTATATAATGATAAAAGGGTAGATTCATCAAAAAGAACAGCAATCCAGAGCTGCAAAATATGTAAGGCAAAGACTGCCAGAATGAAAGGAGAAATAGAGAAACCCACAATTATACTCGGAGGCTTCAATACCCAACTCTCAACAATGGATAGAAATAGGCAAGTATATTAAAGAACTCAACAATGCCATCAACCAACAGGAGCTAATCAACATTTGTAGAACACATCATACCGCAACAGCAGAATCATAAAACATGTACCAAGACAGACCATATTCTGGGCCATAAAACAAACCTCTATCAATTTTTAAGAATTGAAATCACAGAGTGTATTCTCTCATCACGGTGGAATCAAACTAGAAATCAACAACAGAAAGATTACAGGAAAAATCTCCACCAAACACATGGAAATTAAATAAAACACTTCTAAATAATTCATGGATCAATGAAGTCTCAAGGGAAATCAACAAATGCAATGAACCGAATTAAAATCAAAGTAATAATATAACAAAATTGTGCAACACAGTCAATCCAGTTCTGAAAGGGTAATTGATAGCACTAAAAATGCATATATAACAAATAAGAAAATCAGTAAACTAAGCTTCCACCGCAAGTACCTGGAAAAAGAAGAGCAAAGCAAATCGAAAGAAAGCAGAAGGAAGGCTATAATAATGAAAACAGAAATCAATGAAAATAGAAAAATAGAGAAAATCACTGTATTCTACCAAATACTTAAGGAAAAAATTAACACCAATCCTTTACATACTCTTCCAAAAAAACAGAAAAGAAAGGAACACTTCACTTCTTAACTCATTCTGAGGCCAGAGTTACCTTGATACTAAAACCAGGCAAAGATATAACAAGAAAAGAAAACTAATGATCAATATCCCTTATGAATATATAGATGTAAAATCTTCAACAAAATATTAACAAACCAATTCTGTCACTTAACAAAAAAGGATTCTGTACCATGACTGTGCAGTAAAGGATTAATCTTACCCAAAGAGAGAAGTCTGGCTTTTGCCTGTGGCTCCTGGGAAGTGATCTCTAAACCCTTGGAATGTCCAACCCATGTACAGGTGGAGAATAAGGTTAACCACAAGTGTGGTCAACCATGTCTATGTCACTGAGCCCCACTGGGTTCACATGAGATTCTATGGTTGACAATACTCTATGTGTATTTTCACACATGACTGTTGGGAGAAGTGTGTGCTGTCTATACAACTCCACCAGGAGAGGACAACTGCAAGCTCCATAGGTGGAACTCTCCTGGACCCTGCCCTATTAGCCTCTCCTTTGATCGATTTTAATCTATATCCTTTTGGCTATAATAAACCACAACTGTGAGAACAACAGCTCTCAGTGAGTTCTTCTGGAAAATTATCAAACTGTGGGCATTCCTGGGGGCCCCCAAAATTTGCAAGGCCAAGTAGGATTTATTCCAGGAATGTAACATTGGTTCAACATACAAAAAAATCAATCAATGTGATATACCGTATTAATGGAATAAAGGTCAAAAAATCATATGCTCAGCTCAACAGATGCAGAAAAAACATTTGACAAAATCCAACATTCTTTGTTGATAAAAACACTCAACAAACAATGAAGAGAAGGGAACTTCCTCAAACTGATAGAGCTATTTACAAAAAACTCACAGCCAATACCACACTTAATGGTGAAAAACTGAAAGCTTTTTCTGTAAGATCAGGAACAAGACAATGGTGTCTGCTCTTATCACTTCTATTCAACATCATACTAGTGGTTCTAGCCAGGGCAAATGGTAAGAAAATGAAGTAAAAGGCATTCAGACTGGAGATGAAAAAGTAAAGCTTCCAGATGACACTTATATGTAGGAAATCCTAAGGAATCCACAAAAAAATTTATTAGAGCTAATAAGTTCGGCAAGGTTTCAGGATACAATATTGATAAACAAAATTGAATCATATTTCTATACATTAGCAATTAACAATCTCAAAAAGAAATTAAGAAAATAATTCCATTTGTAATAGCATCAAAAAGAATAAAATATTTTGGAGTATAATTCACCAATGTACAAAACTTGTACACTTAAAACTACAAAACATCATTGAACAAAATTAAAGAAGATCTAAATAAATGGAAAAGCATCCTGTATTCACAGACTGTTGGATTTAGTATTGATAAGATGGCTATACTCTCTGTGATGGTTAATTTTATGTGTCAACTTGGGTGGGCCACAGGGTGTCCAGATATTTAGAGTCATTCTGGGTGTATCTGTGTAGGTGTTTCTGAATGAGATTAACAACTGCATCAGTAAGAATGAATAAAACAGATTGCCCTCCCCACTGTGGGTGGCCCTCATCCAATTCACTGAAAGTCTGAATAAAATAAAAGGTTAAGTAAGGGAGAATTCATTCTCAATGCCTGCCTGACTTAGAGAGCTGGGACACTGGTTTTCTCCTGCTTTCAGACTTGGACTCAGACTAGAACTTACACCACCAACTCTCGTGGTTCTCAGGCCTTTGGACTTGACTATACCATTGGCTCTTCTGGATCATCAGCTTGCCCACTGCGGTTCTTAAGGCTTCTCAGCCTCCAGGTCAGTCATGGTGGCTCGTGCCTGTAATCCTGGCACTTTGGGAGGCCGAGGCGGGAGGATTACTTAAGCTCAGGAGTTCAAGACCAGCCTGAGCAACCTGAGCCGGATGTGGTGGCTCATGCCTGTAATCCTAGCACTCTGGGAGGCCGAGGTGGG